TTTTTTAACCTTTTAAGTTGTTACAGCTCGAATAATTTAAAAGGAAAAAAAAGCAATTAATATACTGTCATAAGTAAATTAACTCCCTTTTATTGGATTAAACTAAAATATCTAGAGAGGTTGAAAACCTAATAGTAAATAAGTTAATAATTTTCTTACTGGAAATAAATAAATTATTAATCTACTTAAAGGACACACATCACTATCATTTATATCAATCAATATTTAAAATATTGTGTAATTCGGTGTTCCTATTAGTTTATAAACAACATATGTGTATAAAAACCTTTTAGCATAAATGTAGAAAATAGAAAATATGAACCACACAATGTAAGTTTCTATTGTGTTAAATATAAATATAATTAGATCATAACGTTGAAATAAAAATATAATTAATCAATAAATTTGAACACAACACGTAGATAGTTAAGTTTTTTTAGAGAACAATTAAGTTATTTATCAAACTTTATTTCTTTATTTATTTGACCATAGAGCCAATTTTAAAGCTGAAAGCATAACACAGCTACTTCATCTTGTACTTTTTGGTGTAAGTAGAATTTTCCCTTCCCTTCTGTTTTATGTATTGGTAGCCCTGCAAAAATAAGGTGTAGGAACCCCATTAGTACAATGATGAGTTATCTTTTACTGAAATATTGAAATTTTCAAATGTTATATATATATATATATATATAAATAGAATAAAAACATTAACTAATGCTTAAAGCAATTATTTAGAAAGATGAAGGTTACCTTATGAGTTCCATAAATGTAGTCACAATAGGTAAATACTGAGGCAAAGTTGCTTTGAGTTTTTTCACCAACATAGTGATGGTAGTCATGGAATGCTGCTCCTCCATAAAATGGTATAAACTTTGTGCAACTCCAAGGAAAATCATACCTTAACCATATCATAAGATAAATAACATTTTAAAATAATTAGTTTATGTATTTTAAACATTATTAAAAGAATTTAATGAAGGTTATATTTGTAATTGCATGAAAAAGAGTATGTAATAAAAAAAATTAACCATAAAAATCAGTAACTGGATTTCTTATTTACACTCTTCTTGTCTGAGTTGTTCTTTCTTGAAATTTTAGACTGTATAAATGGAAATAGTAATTCTAAAAATCATATAATTTAAAAGTTATTTCCAAAAAGAAAAGATCACATGGGATAGTTTGAAAGTGACTATTGAATTCAAAAGCTTGTTCCAAATTGGACAATGATAAGGACAAAGCAGAAATTTTAATATTTATGAGGTGCAGGAAGAAATTAAAAGGGTGTAAAAAGAAATCTACTGAAAAAATAATTACCCGCTATGAGTCTCAATGGCTTCTATCTGGCGCAAAATGAACCATAACCAATAGGTTGTTATGTGGCCTGGTAATAGTACTGGGCCAATAAATGCGGGGATACCCAATATGATTATCTCAGCCCAATGGGCATAAGGTGCTGATAGCCCAATTGGTGCCGAATATTCATGATGAACCTTGTGGATCTTCTGATAGGCCCATTTATAATGGAGCATCCTGTGAACCCAATAGCCCAAATAATCTTCTATGACAAAGTAAACTAATATCTGCCAAAATAATTCCCAGCCCGATGGCAGTGACAAACCAGTTCTGATCCCAATCCACTGAAAAAGGAAAACTACAATTTCAATCCTTACAACATTTTAATATCACTTTTTTTATCTTTTAAATTTTCAATTTAAAAGAATTCGATCCAACACAATATATCATATAAATAATAACCTACTTTTTAAAACATTAATATTAATATTTAAGCTAATTTTTTTTAATCACTTATAGTTACGTTAACATTTCCTACTTTCTACAATCTATATATATATATACACACACACACAAAATCAATAGACTAATGGTAAATTAAAACTATTAAATTTGAAATAAAAAACTAAATGTGTGACTAAATTTTTACAAAAAATAAATTTACACATGTACATAATTATAAAAACTAATAAAATTATTAATATTTATTTGGAAATCAAACTTTAACGAAGCAAATGTTATTAAAAAAAATTAATAAAAAGGTTAGAGGGGACCATGTCTCAAGCCTTGAAATAAATGGTACTTTTCAATGTCTCAACTAGAGTGATTGTCAATACCGAACATGATTATCATAGATAACTGAAACAACAGATATTATACAAAATGTTTTAATTCATTAAAAAAATTATATATTTGAGTTAAGTTTATTTAAATCATTGCATAATTCAATTTAATTCTTGTAACTACTTTTCTTAATAAGACTTAGAGATTTAAATCAATTTTAAAATTTAATTTAATTGATAGATTTTATGCATCTTAACTGCAATTACATCCATTTTCACAAATTAATGTAGTATAGTGGAGATTATAATTAGAGTTCTAGAGTTTTAGATATAAAAAGTAAAACTTATTTAAAAGTAATGTTTAGTTTAAATGTAAATCATGAATTTATATTTAACTTATAAATAAAACATAGGCTCACATGTCCTGCTTGATATTTTTAACATTAAAGAAAAGCTGATTCGTTGAAACAGATCATATTGTAAACTGGAATTAACAAATTATAATGACAATTATATGTTTTTTTTTCTTCTTTAGGCAAGAACGAGCCACAAATGTATAAAATTTTATTAATAAAGATTTTATTTTATTTATTATTATTTTTTTACTTTTTGTTGCTGTAAACTTTATATAGCAAATTAGAATTATTTTATAAAATTCAAAGTTCCATTAATTGCAAAGTAAATTATACCTACCACTTTGTTTCACATGCTGTCTCTATTATTTTGTTCGATTTAATAGTTTTTCTTATCTATATATTATTATGTTTGTTTCACTTTCCGTGTTGATAATTTGATATATTTTTTTAAAAAAAAATTAATATAATTTTATCATAATTGATAATTATAATGTTAAAATAATAATATGCAGTACAAAAATAACAAATGATACAATAACCATAACATGACTATAAATAAAATCATTTATTCATTTTAAAAAAATATATAAAATCAAATTGAAATCATTCAAATTAAAGAGAAGAAATTTAAAAGATTAAATAAAAAAAAGGTTATTTAACCTATTTTTTTCAAAAATTATTATTTTTTAAAACAATAATAATATTCTCAACTTCAATGTAATTTTAATTTTTATTTAACTTTTCTTTAAATTAATTATTTTAACTGTCTTAATATAATAAAATTGATTAAAAATTGGTGTATTTATAGTTTATTTTTATTTTGTGGAAAAAACTTAGTACAATCATTGGTATATATAGATCTTTAGAGGAATGTTGGTGAGTGCGACACTTTCCTTAGATTTTAAATTTTGTGATTTGATTGAAATTTATCGAAACCACTTGGATTCATGCTTACACCTGGATATTGATGTTTTTGTCTATTCATTTATATTACAAGAAAAAAAAACCTAAATTCACATAAATTAGAGAAATAATTTAATTGCATTAAATTTAAATATTTATTTGTTACCTAAAGTGTCTTTATTATTAAATTAGTTAAAAAATAAATAAACAACTATTTTACATAGAAAGATGAGACATTCAATATTGCAACCAAAGACAAGACATTAGTTATATATTTTTTTAAAAGAAAAGTCATTAAATAAAGTAAAAATAAAAATTATTATATTTAAGATAAAATCTTACACTAAATTACATCGTTTATATTTTTCTTCTTAAATATGAGAACAGATAAAGTAGTTTCCAAAAAAAAATTATGAATTTGTTTGATGAGAAAACTATCACTAAACTTTTACATATTCATAATAAGCTAATTTCTTTTAGTCGAACAACCGTACTGAAAAATTAATTGATGAATTGATGGTTTGAACAACCCTACTGAAATATTAATTGATCAATTAATTCTCATAAATTAGAACAATCAAAAACATATTATACGAATAAATTATTTTCAAAGGTTAGGATATTAATGAAAATATATATGTCACTTTGATAGAGTCTTATGATTATCCTCAAACCTTAATAATGTTTTACTTTCGGATTAGGAGAATAAAAACTTCACAGATTCATAATCTATGACTAAATATTTTACTTCTCGTATGCATCATTAAGATAACATCTTATAATTTAATGATTAAATGGTTAATATATATGTTTAACTTATATGCTGTTAAAAGAGTTATTAGTCTAAGATTGCATTCACTGTATTTATTATTTCCTATCTTATCTAATAATAAATTATTCCATATATTGAAAATATTAAAATCATCTATTGTTTTGTGAATGATCTAAAATTAAGATTGTTAAGGTTGTAATAATTATGTAAAGTAGATTGGATTACAACATTAACATAGGATATGATAGCTTTAATAAATTTAATGGTTAAATATGTTTAACTTATATTTAGAATGATTTTTAAGCAATAAAATGCAAAAGTCTTTATACTAACATGATATATGAAGATTAGACTCGGAAAGAAAGAAAGAAATTACCTTTATGGTGGGATAAGAAATGATCTGAAGAGGAGTAACCGCAATGACAAAGGTGTGCAGGACATCTTTGTAGCATTTGAACATTTCCGAGAATGTTCTCTTGACCTTGGGCTGAATCTTGTGTTTGTTTAGTATGTGGTTCCCACCAAGCTCCATCAATAAGAATGGAATAGGAGCAATAGAATAAAAGAACAACAAGAATAGAGAGTTGTGACAATGAAGAAGAAAATCAGGTTTGTTTGCAGAATATTTGAACCATATTGTCTGAGGAAGGGTTAGTCGTCTTCCTAGGGCAACTTCTGCTTCTTGAAGGGTATGGTAAGGAAGCATTCTGAATATTTGGGAGAGATGAGAAAACTACTGAGAAAGAGGAAGATGAGAAATAGGAGTGTATATACAGATTCCGATGACTAAGCTTATTCTTTGAAAATGATGGTGCAAGAGAAATGTTTTGTTTAGATGTATTAATGACTGCTTTTAGTGATATATAAAATGTCTTAACTTTTTTGTTGTATTCATTTATTACTTGTTTAGTGGATTCTTCCATCAACTTTTTTTCTTTTTTTAATTAAGGGAGTTCTTTTCTTTTAACCATGGTGTTAGTATACATTATTTATGATTGAAAATATGACATTTTGAGAACACACTGTATATGTATTTCTATTTTAATATGATTGAATTTATACTCATGTTTTGTTTCATTTAAAAAAGTAAATAAATGTTGCTACCGGATATGTTTGTTAAAGAATAATAAATAAAAGACTCAATTATTCTTATAGTCTGTATTTTGGAAGTAGTGTGTGAATTTGGTTCCTATTTTTAATTTTGTGTTAATTTTGTTTTTAATTTTGTTAACATGTATTAATCAAGTTTTTGTCGTTAATTTTTATGTTAAGAGTGTGATGATGTGGCAAAGGATAATGTATACGTGTAAAAATTTGCAAAATTTAATAAGTTATACACCACATAATTAATGGAAGTGTTGAAAGGTCTACAAGACATCCGAAGAACTTGGCTAAGAGCATGAAGATCTCAAACATATGGATAGTTTGACTACGTGTATGACAAACTCAAATAACTCGACAAAACATCCAGAGAACTTCGTAAAGTGCATGAAGAAGTCAGATAGCTCGATCATACATCCGGAGAGCTCGGAAAAGTCAGACCATATCTGAACTTCCACTGAACTATTTGAGTTTCTTGCACCTTATACCGACCTTTACTAGACTTTCCACCAAGCTATTTGATTTTTTGATGGACATTACCGAGCTTTAGGGATGTATTGCCGAGTTATTTGACTTATCTATGTATTTTACTGAGCTCTCTATATGTCTATCCGAGTTATTTTAGTTCTCCATGCATTTAGTTGAGTTCTTTAGATATCTTGCTGAGCTATTTAAGTTATCCATATACCAGCTCTCCAACAATCTTTTGACCTCTTAAGGCTTTAGATACACAACTTTAAATAATTTTATATATATGTTAAAGTCGCCAAAATTTTTGTTTTTTTATCTTTTTCATCAATCCAAATTTTCACATTACATAATTCTTATGTTTAAAAAAAACATGCCTAATCAGTTAATATTATATATTAATTTAAATGGAGTCAATAAAAATGGATTTGATTAATGTAATTAACAAATTTAAAAATGAAATTGAACAAAATTAAAAACCCATGTTGACACATTCCTCTAAAATAAGAATCATTCTAGTAATTAAGTTTGAATAAAAGTTATTTTTTAAAATATAATGTTATTGATATATGACCTTATCATGGTGTTGTATACACATATCTTTTCAAAATTTTATTAATGTTTAAAAATAAAATAGTTATCTTATGAATTTTAATATTCGAGTGACTTTTTTGTTTTAAATGTCATATTTTTTTTTAAATTAATCATATTTTAAAGTACAATATTTTTATAAGAAAAATATTTATAAAATAAATAAAATTTATATATAATAAAATTATAAAAATTATTTATATTTACTTTTATAATTATAATCTTATTATATTTTATCAATAAAAAAACAAACAAACATGTAGACATGTGTTTTACTAATGTATAACATTCATAAAAGATTTATATGTGATGAACAAAGTTTTTTACAAAAATAATGGGAATAAATTAGTTTGATATTTTTTTAAGTATGACAATGGAACAAATTATTTATCAGCAGATATAATGATTAATAACATTGGAATCCATTTTCTTATTTTATCATTTATCATATCTAATATATTTATTATCTTAAGGGGTGACTGACAGTAGATTCAACAATCTTCCTAAACCTCTTCATCACAACTACCATTATCATAAACATCATTATCATCATTGTTTTTGTGTTTGTACTTATCATCACTTTCTCTATCTTTATTAATATTATTGTTGACACCAATTCATCGTCCTCTACTATTATGATAATCATCATAATATTATTTTTAAGTTATGACTATCCATTCCATACTCTCTTTTTTGTTAAAACTTTTATTATTATCGTTTTTATCATAATAATTATAAAGTGAATTTTAGAAGTTATACATCAATTAAGACAAGATGATTAAGTTTAATTTAATTTTATAAAACAAATTTATTTAAACTTACATCATTTATATATTATAAAATCATTTTATTTGTAATGGATGTAAAATTTTTTATCATTAACTTCTTGTTATAAAATTTTTTGTTGTAAGATTTACACTTGCTTATTTTATATTAAAAGTATATCAAAATTAATATTATTGATGTTTCGAGAACATTGTTGAGTGGCATTATTTAAGGTGGAAAAAGAGAGAATGGACATTACAAAGATGACTCTCAACATTGCAGGGAATATTAAAGGAAAATATTCTTTTAATAATTTTTTTTAATAATTTTCTTTTACAAGATTTTTTACGAATAATTTATGTAATAATTTATGATTGATCGTTTTAAATATACATACTAATAAAACAATAACACATTGTTTAAATTTTTTCATATTTATCTTTTTAACATTGAGATGCATATGCAGTGAAAGTGAGAACCATACGTGTTTGTCTCCTTCGGTGCATGGTCTTGCATGCTGCAAAGTGTCGGCGGAAAGAGACAAAAACAGAGACAATTCCTGAATTCAAAGGAAACTAACAAAAATATTATCATTTCAAATAACTTTTTAAGTAACCAAAACAAATCAATTAAATTGGTTCGAGGATCCGTAGTTTTTTCTTATCTAGTTCTCTTTTCATCTTTAATTCTATTCAAAAATGTAATTTATTTTGATGAATTGTTGATTTATAGAAGATATTTCGATACTTAAATCAAATATGTTTAAATCTATATTTTTTATTAGGACAGAAAATAATGTTTTTAACTAGGCTTTAATCTTATATTTATAGAACTTATGACAATCAAGCTCATTAATTTATATCTGATCTAGCAATAAATTCAATATAACTTAATAATATACCTGCTAATTGTTTATTAATACCATATTTTTATAAAATATGACATGTCAATCACTCATAAATAATGTATATTTGCATTTAATATGACCATTAAACATATTAATTGAGTATTAATAATATTATCTTTCCTTATTAGTTTGTCTCAAAGCCGGTGCATTATGATAGTACACACATACATATAAAATAAAATTATAACTATAAGAATTCTTTCCAGGAGTATGAAATTCTTTAAGAGCTTAAGGATTTCTCTATGAATGTTTTAAGAGCTTAAGATGTCTCTCGGTAAAGAAAATTCCAGTGTTTTAAAGAGAACCAGAAAAAATTCATATATCTAATGTCAGAAAAAAATTAAATATTTGATAACGAGGATAAAAAGTATATGAAAATATAAGTGAGTTAAATCTTGAGTAAGTTTTTCTTTTCTTTTTTCTTTTTAATTTTGTATCTATATGTTTTTTATATAATGAATAAACAAATATATTAAATAAATTTTTTTAGTTGACGATCATAAATCTTATATCTTAAATATAGTATATAATTAATTTTAATATTATAATTCCTTAGAAATTTCAAATAATAAATTATTATACCACAATATTTTAAAATGATAAAACATTATATCATAAAATATTATTTATAAATATTTTGAAGGTTTTCATAGTATCATGCCAGTATCATTCCAACAAAACTAATTTTGATATATATACATACATATATGTACATACATGTATACATATATGTATATGTAGACATATATATATATATATATATATATATATATATATAGATATATTATATGGTTTGTTAATGCACGTAGACCTTGTTGTTTTCAGTTGATTATATTTTAGGCAATTGTGGCGGATTTTAGTAGACAAAAATATCCTTTATATATCATGGATTCTAAGTTTTAAGGTTAAGGGTATTTAATAATTTTTTCATTCTCAAAACTTAAAAAAAAAAAAAAAAAAGAACCCCTTTTATAACCCTCTTACTATCCTCTCTCATTCCTCTCAATTTTTTTCTCTTTCATCTTTCTCAATTCCAACTTTTTTCTCCTGTCATCCCTAACGTAGCCAATAGCCCCAATTGAAAAAATCAAGAACGCCTGCCTTTTTTTTTAAAAAATTTGCCTTTGTAAGAGTTGAGTCATTGCATAAGGCAAAGTTCATTTCAAGATCTCGTTCAATTTCACCCACTCTTCACTAACCTCTCTAATTTCATCATAGGGTTGAAATCATCACCTAAAGTAAAAAAAACCCTTCAATGCCAATTACCAATTCTTCGAATGTCATTATGCTTGTGAAAATTAGATTAAATTATTATACGACAAAAAATATAAAATGAAAAACTCATTATAACTTAAAAGTCATTTTTGAAAATAAATTGTTTTCAACAACAAGTGGTTTCTTCGATTTTTCCAAGCCAATTATTCCAATTCCTTTACTGTTATGCTTGTGAAAATTAGAATTAAAAATTTAGATAAGACAAAATTATAAAAATAAAAACTCATTATAAAATCAGTTTTTATAAAGAAATGTTTAACGCGAGTATTTCTGATTTTTTTCCAAGTCAATTACCAATTCCTTTATCGTTTGGTGAAAATTGGAAAAAAATAAAAATTAGATGAAAGCACAAAAATTATTAAGATGAAAATCATTATAAAGTCACTTTTTTGTAAGATTGTTTTTAACGAGAAAAGTCGTTTTGATTTTTTAATTGGGGGCATTCTATTATTAATAGGATGACTAGAGAAGAAAAGGTTGGAAGTGAGAAATAGGAAAGAGAAAGGCGTTGCGAGGATTGAAAGAGGTGATAAGGGTTGGGGGTTTCCTTTTTTTTTTTTTTAGTTTTGAGAATGAAAATTATTAAAATACCCTGTGGTGTGTATGTGTGTTGGTGTGTGTGTGTGTGTTTTGTGTGTGTGTGTGTGTTGCTATTTTTGACTTAT